GGACAAATGGTGAGATATCCTGCTGTTGTGCGTATTTTTAATAAATTTAATTTAATTTAATGATTTGTATAAAAGAAAGCAAATGCCTTGTAATGAATGATTCATCGATTTTAAAACGATTTGATCAATAAAAGACAAGATAAATAATATTTATATCTTAATTAAGAATTGTCAAATTTGACTCAGATAAAATTATTTACATATATATATGATTTCTGATAGAAATTTACAAGTAACCTTTCATGTTTAAACAGATTACTGCGTCTATGAGATTCTGTACAATAGCAGACAATAGGAAGTTTTTAATTTCTTTTCCTTTTTCTATATTTTAGGCTTCAAAATTATGAGAGTTGTAAAAATTATGCACAAGAAATCAATCAGAAAATAAATGAATTTAAAAAATTATCTAATGGTAGTTCACAACAAGCTAAAGTAAATATTTGTTTCTTAGACAAGATATTCAAAATCTCAATGATTCTTTTATAGATATCATCAATAATTCGTACGATGATAGCAGAATTTAATAAAGATGTTGATAAACTTTCGAATGATTTAACTGCTCAATCTCGTAATGGTGTTATGTAAATAATTCTTCTAGAGTTTTGTTTTGTTTGTATATACATATTCTTTTCTATTATATAGAACTCCACGAGAAGCAAATCGTCGTCGAACATTAGTTGATACAATAAAACAATCGAAAGAAGAAATAGAAACAACAATGAGAGAAAGTTTTAATACATTTTCGTACGTTTCCATGATTCATTCATTAGAATTGTTAATAAATAATTTCTATTAGACCACGTGATCGAGTAAATCCGCGTTTTGCACCTGCTGTTGAAACAGAATATACTCAAGGTTTAACAAATGATGAATTTGCTGGACTTCATTCAAATTTACGAAAAAGTATTTTCTTTTTTGAAAAACATGATATATGAGTATCACACCAAAAAAAGCATTTTTATTTCTTTTATTTCTATAGATAATGATGAAGCTATTGATGCATTACATGCCATAGTTAAACGTCAAAAAGAAATCGGTGTTGCAATGAATAGTGAAGTTGATAGACACAATGAAATAATTGATACAATAACTGATCGTACAGGATTACTTGATTCTCGTGTTAAACGTCAAACAATGTTAGTTAAAGTTATCGATCGAAAATCATCGGCATTATGGTTATGGGTTATTATAATACTTCTTTTCATTGCTATTATTGTTATAGCTGCTATTCCATTTAAAAAATAGTTTAAGCAACTTTCTTCGTATATTTTGTCTTTTTTTTTCTTGTTGAATGTAATCTATATCATTTTTTTTATTTATGTAAAAGCAATCAATGGATGATTTTGAATTTTTTTCGATTTTTCTTTTCATGACATTGCAATCATTTCTTTCTAGAATGATTCCGTCACTTGTTAATCTTGCATCTCGTACATTGGGAAAATATTTTTTATCTATTGAAAGTTGTCGTTATGTACCAGATGAAATTGTTGAAAAAATTTTTGATGAATATTTAAAAACAATATCATCATTATCAATAATTAATGAAAATGATCTTATAAAAATAGTCAATATTTTAACAGATTATCATTCAGATATATTTTGTACAAGTTTTTGTTATTCAATAACAAATAATTTAAATTTTTTAACGGCTAATTTTTATCTTCATTTATTAAAACGTATACATTTAAATGTAATTCAACTTGATTTTTCATATGCTTTGGAAAAATTTGATTATGAAGAAAAAAGAAAGATTTTAAATATTATTGGACAAATGGAAAATATTGAATATTTAAGATTAACTTTTAGTCGATTAGATGATGAAGATATTCGATTATTAACAGCTAGTAATCGAATTCGAA